ACAGCTCCTGCTACACCTCCACCAACAGCTCCACCAAAAACAGCTCCACCAACAGCTCCATAAACTACAGCTCCTCCTACTGAACCACCAACTACAAAACCAGCTGCAATGGCTGCCATACAAAAATGACACTTATACTTAGATAAAAACAGCAGAAATCCATTGCTTGCTTCTTTATTCTTCTTCTCAATCTTCTCTGGTTTTAGTCGTTGCGGTTTTCTCACTTTCCTCCTACGTTCTCTCTTGGTTATCTCTGCTCTGACTCTCTCCTCGGTCTCCTTTCTCACTCTCTCAAGCTCCTCTTGTCTTTGTTTCTCCTTCTCTTGTCTTCTCTCCTCTTCCTCTCTCTGTCTCTCCTCCTCCTCTCTCTGTCTCTGCTCTTCTTCCTCTTGTCTGAATCTCAGAGCATCTTCAAACATCTGATTACTGTAGAGTCCTCCTCCATTCTGCTCTATCATTTTGTCAATCTTCTGCAGCAGATCATTCACCTGCTCTCTGTTATTCTCATCTTCATTGTTGAAGATGTGATATCTGCCTCCACATTGACCTACTAGACGGTTTAATCTACTGTTGCTCTCAATAAGGTTAACTACTGACTTTCCTTTCAGCAGATCTCCATGAGTGAAGAGAATGATGGAGTATTTTAACACCTCCTGACCAAACAACATCTCAATCATCTGAGGAATCTGCTGCTCCTGTTCAGTGAATCTATTATTCACAGGAAACACAATGAGAAAAGCGTGAGGTCCAGGACTGGATAAATAAACACTTCTCGCTATCTCTGTTATTAACTTTTCAGGGTCCATCTCTGTGTCAAAGAATCCAGGAGTATCAACTACAGACACAGATCTGTCTGAAACAGTGGCACGAGCATCTGTACATTCAGTTGTTACTGAATCCATACTCAGGTCAGATTTAAATTCTTTCTCTCCCAGTATTGTGTTTCCAGCTGCACTTTTCCCAACACCACTTTTACCCAGAAGCACAATTCTTATTGATGAACCACTGGAGTGCTGGATGTTGACAGGAATTCTTTGCTGTAGATTATTTGACACTGTATGTTAAAGAAAACAGAAAAAAAAAAATTACAACATGTACTTGTTAGACAGACAGTAAATACCACTTCTGTTCCCAGATAAAGGAAACAATATCATTGCTTCTTTAAACTCACAAATGGTACAACTTTACATCACATTTTAAGACACCTTTTATTAATGTCACAAAAGTTTTCAATGCGATTACATTTTTTGGACAACTTCATATTTCCAGAGCTCTTACTCAGTTCTGCATCAGAATATCCTGGTGTGTCATGAGTGACCGGCACTTCACAAACTTCACCAATTCCTGCAGCTATATCACATCTGTTAGAAGCAGGGATTAACCCTGGTACGAAGGCCAAATTCATCATGTTTCCTTCCATTTTTATTGTGTAACCTAGAAATAATAAAAAAAAAATGTTTACATGGTGTAAGAGGAAAAGTATAATCGGGAAAAAAAAAATCCAAACATTAGTTAGGCATTATTTTGTCAAAGAAACCAGATTATCTGCAAATACTGTATACCATATTGCATGTCCTTTACCTTTATATGATGAATTTGATATTAAACTGAGTGTGAGTGCGCATCAGTTTCACTTTCGTTTTTAATCGCTCCGTGTCCAATAAAGCAATCCATGTACTCCATTTTTCTTGTTCAATATACTGCTTTAATCTTGACTAAAAGTTTTTGATTAAAAATAAAATTAAAGAAACAAAATATAATCTTACATCTTAAATATCACGGATGCGGTAAAGAAAACTGTGTGACTCCGCTGTATTCCAAAGAACGCACTGCTGCCTGACTTAACAGACGCGATTCTTAAAGAGCCAGTACACAATTTCAACACAGCACACATTTTCAATGTAAAATAGAGAATATTTGTCTAAATTGTACACGTGAATAAAGTAAGTTTACAAGTTTTCAATGTAAAAGACAGAATATTTGTCTAAATTGTACACGTGAATAAAGTAAGTTTACAAGTGCTTCGGGGAAATCCTGCTTGAATTGCTGTTGCCACAAGTCTTCTAATCTGGCTACCAATATGCGATTCACAGACACTGGAACACACCTTCCTTTTCTTGTGACATCATTACTGTTCCTAAGGGGTCCATTGACTGTCCAGCCCAAGTTAGTTCTTACAGCAAAAGGTCCATTGTCTTTACTACTAATAACTTGCCAAGGCTCCATGACTTCAGGCACATTAGCTCCTATTAGCAATCCAATTTCTGCTTTGATGCTATGTAGACTAACCTCCTTAAGATACGGCAATCTTTCCAAATCCTTTTGCTGTGGAATGTTGCCCTTTTGAACTGGAATTGTTTTCTGTGTAACGACATCAGGAAATTGGACGAACTGATCACCATCTAGACTACTAATCTCCAACCCAGA